AAAAACACGAATAAGTTTTAATTGTACGGAAAGTGAAATGTGTTTTAATGAGAGGACAAATACTTTGTATAAAATAATGTTGAGAGACATGAGCCAAGACTGTCGCACATGAGGTTTGAGAAGCCATAACGAATAGACGGGTAAATGGTTTCCGTCGTGAATATATCGTTGAGGCGATGGACAGTAAACAAGCAAAGGAAGACAAGTGCTGAGCAAAATGTTTCCCATTTTGAAGTTAAAATCTAAAACTTTTGGCATTGAAGTGATGAAAGCGTTGAAAACGGGAAGTCCTCGTAAACTATTGGGAGATATAAGGAATGCCTTCTCTGCCGGACTGTAACCCATCAGTATATTTAGATGCCGTAAAACAATGAGCTGTTCAACAGTTATATATCATATCATTAACAACAATGACATTTGCTATCATTAATAACACTTACATGACTGCGAGTCATTGACTTCTCGTCCTGAGGGTGTGAGGGGTCGGGTCGGGACAGGAATTGCATTAATAGAAATATTAATAAATGAATGGTGTCTTTGTCGTGATCTTCCATTTCGATCTTATGTATGACATTAAGCAGATGCGCCTCTTCTTGTGCCACTTCTTTGATTTGGTTGTCGTGAAAGAAACTGTTGGGAAAGTGAGTGATTGTAGAGCCGGTGAGCGCCGCCAGTTTGGAGCTCTTCCGTGAGACGGCCGGCGCCGATGCCTGTCGTCCGAAGGTCTTGTCCTTTTCAAACTTGGGTATTAAGCCGTACGCGGGAACAGACATTGTCCTCTTGTAAGGCTGTTTAAGGCCAAAGATGGCCGATAGGGAGCGGGAAGCGTGAGTGTGTGACAGTGCCTCCTGAGCTCTGACCAACTTCTTCTGGTAGGTCTCGGAGTTGACGTTTGTGTTCCTGAGATCACGGGTTTGAGTGATTTCTCCGCTTCGCTCTAAAGTGATCTGCGATTCCAGGAATAGAGCGTCGAATCGGTTGAGAAAGAAATCCCACGAAAGAAAACGTCTATCACTTAAATGGTTGTAGAGTTGGAATATTGTGGTCAATATCATCGGTCTGTCGAGTATAACCAAATCGAACTGCACTTCCAGACACCATAACAACAACTTCAGTGACGAAGTCTTAATCATTTCAAGATTAAGCAGAGCTCGTTGTGCGACATTGGCTTCGATGTCATCCAAGCAATGGACTAAATAGCAGAAAGCTGTGGCCAAAGAGCCCTGAAGTAGTGGACTGTTCTTAACAGTGACCGGCTCTACGAAGTGTGCGATTGTTGTGACCCTTTCGACGGCCGCGAAGCGCGCCCTCCAGTCGTTGTTATGGAAGTCCTCTTCGACTACTTTGGAGAACATTGGAGTTCCCAACGGAAGTGTAATGCAGTGGAGTATTAGCGGAACGCAAAGCTGTGAGATCTGCGAGAACTCCGACTGCAAGAGTTTCCAGAGGTTAGGTATGAGAAGGTTTTCCTGACACCAGATGACAAATCCTTTGTTATTTTTGGCCGCTTTATTGAGCACTTCTGAGTGCAAACTCATGAGTTTCACACAATATAATAAATGGTATAAAACGTCGGCGTCGTTGTGAGCGCTCACTTCTTTGAGAAACACATACACGAGCTGTTCCTGCGGTGGCAACTCTTCGATCGTAAACTTGAACTTTCCATACGATGTCTCCCAAAAGTTTTTTCCCATTTCGTCGAAACGCTTGTCAAACACGGAGTCGTTGTCTTCGTCTAAGAGTTGTGGTGTAGAAGAAACCGTACACTTGGCCGAAGCCACGTCATCCTCAGTGATGGTCACCGCTCGGGCCACTCCTGTCTCCACTGACTCTATTGGCACGACTCGAGCAATATTCAGATCGTCGTCAATGTCTATAACTGTGGCTGCTTTCAGAGTAGAGTCACCGCTGAGTTCGCCCGAAGTAATTGTCTTAATATCTTGCGTCGAAACCACAGAATTGTTGGCAGTCTTGGTGTCAATTGTTTGCAATGATTTGGGCGTCTCTTTAGCAGAGCTGACAGAATCTGATTTTGAGACCTTTTCATGCGATGGAATGTGTTGTTTGACAAAAGTGTCGCCCGGAATGTCAGCCATCGTTACCTCCATTACGGGACAGAAGTATTCGATGATATAGAGAGTCAACTGATACCAAATGGCACTCATTTCACAGTAAAGGCATTGAGATATTTCGGCCTCATTTAAGTCGGCGTTGGAGTCGTTGAGACAGGTATGTGTGCCAACCCATGGGGCGTGCAGTATATCCAGAATCAGTTTCAACACTTGAATCGCGTCTTTAGTCTCCAGGCCTTTATGCGAATTCACTTCTTGTAACTCAAACTGTTTGACCAAAATGTCGAGCATTAGTATATATGAGGAGAGATTGATGTCTTGCTCTGCGCTCTCATTGATGTGCAAACGAGTACTCGATTTGGTGATAGCGGTGGCCGTCGGGTCGGACGAGATCTTCTTAACCGTACAAATGTTTTCGATGTTTGGATCAGACATAGACTTGACTCCAGTGGAGAACATTGTATTCAATAAGTTCAAAGGCACCGGCACTTCCAACATGGTTAGGATCTATTGATTAGATTTTATGAGTAATGCATAATCAAAAGGGTATCAATTAGTAGTCACCTGAAGCCAACTGAGCGCCTGTTCCTGAATGGGCGCCGTTGTGTTCTCGAAGCGAATGTTAATGAATTGATACATTTGTTTTGGTTGCAAACCAAGTGGTGAGAGGTCTGGATCTAATACTTTGCTCAACAGAATCTTCAATTCGGACAACTCTTCTTCGGGCACGTCGTGTCTGAAGCACTCCATCCAAAAGGGCATTATATGCCCCCAAACATCAGCCGTTATGATATCGTAAGGCACGAGACAAAGCAATCGTTTGAAGCCTTCCTTAATTTGATTGGTCTGTGAGGGCCACGACTCCCAGTGACCGCCAAGTCTTGCGTAATCCAAGGGATGCGGCAGAAGGCAAGACGTGAAGATATTGAAGTGGGTTTTGATAATTTTCATGAGCCATCCGTGAATGCACTCTCCCTTCAGCCGTTCCAACGCACTGCTCGCCTGATCGTCCGGCAAACACGCCGTGTAGTGAAACCATTGACATAACATACTTAACAGTCGTCCCAACGCGGCTTCCGGTGTGCTCTCGTTGGGAGCGCCCAAACCCACCAAAAGCCAGACGCCGTACCGACTCAGCAGTTGTCGCTCCTCTATAGTGGTCTCTTGATTATCATCGGACACTTGGAATCCGATTCTGGAATGTCTTTCGCTGTCTTTGGAAGGCTTGTCCGGTTGGGCCTCTTTCAGTAAACTTACGATTGCTTCCACCAAATAAGTCTGTGTCTCGCTGTCCATATCCCACGGGGACGGTATGATTGTGTGCACGATATGATTGGACGCCTCTTGACTCGAGTGCTTCTCTTCGTTACATTGAGCGCAATATCTGATCGGTTTATTACAGTTATAATTAGTGCACTCAATGGCGAAACAAGTGGCCACCGCTATCTTCTGCGAGAGTGGCGTTCGGCACGACTTGTTCTCGCAATTGTACGAAATCTCTTCCATCGGCAACAATATATTGAGTAATGTGTCCCGACTTTTGCCTCTATATATTTGATCCGTGCATTCAATGCAAATGAGTAGTGGTGTCGGCCTTTCGGCCGTTTCTATTATCACTGTGTGATCGATACACATCTTCACCGCTTCGTTGCTCACATTGTTTTGGCATTTCTCGTATTGACACGTAAGTGGTGTCCAACTCACGTGCTTTTCAGACAACGCTTTCCTGTCCAATGCACTCGGGTTTAGATGCGGCCAATACAGGAACAACAGCTCCACTGCCGCACATCTGGCTTTAGCCGTACCATAAGCTATAACACAGAGCAGGTCTTTGGAAACATTGTATTTCAATCGCATCAAACACTCCAAGAGCTGTGTGTGAAAGGATGGGTTGTCCGCGTAATTCAATACAATCATTATTATGGATGGGATCGACATATTAGCGTAATTGAGAACTTCTGAATCACACGTTTCGTCTGAAAATATCATACAAATTAAGTATAAACCGTGTGTCATTCATTTCTGAACACTTCCTTCATGATAGTTATAATTTTAATTTATAAGAAATATAATAAGATCTGAAAAGGAATCACATACTATATTAAAAGTCCATTAATTAAAGTACATTTGTGTGAAAGGATGGGTTGTCCGCGTAATTCAATACAATCATTATTATGGATGGGATCGACATATTAGCGTAATTGAGAACTTCTGAATCACACGTTTCGTCTGAAAATATCATACAAATTAAGTATAGATTACACGGAAAAAATATTTTTTCACACAATTCTTACCGATAGTAAATGGAAGTAAATTATAGCAAAGCATATCCAAAAGCTCTTTGTGCAGAATAGGCGGAAGCACTGCCATAGCGGAGGCCATTAGATTACACGGAAAAAATATTTTTTCACACAATTCTTACCGATAGTAAATGGAAGTAAATTATAGCAAAGCATATCCAAAAGCTCTTTGTGCAGAATAGGCGGAAGCACTGCCATAGCGGAGGCCACTATATATGGCAAGGAATCCATATATTCGTGTTCGAGGAATGGCACTAAACAGCTCATTGTGTGCAATACTGTTTGGCCAACCACTAGAAGCTCATTGAAAGTCAATGTTAATTATTAACAGTTATGATAGAAATTATAAAAATAATTTGTTATATACTTTGCATTCCTGTCTGAATTTGTGGCAAAATCTCGAGGAACTGCACGATTACGATATACAGATTCTTGTAATCTAGATTCGGGAAAAGTGAGGTTCGGTTGTGTTCTCTATCGTGACAACGGATCAGCTCTATTGGAATCGCCGGCACATCCCGGAGAACACTAGCCATTGAATTCATATTGAATTAAATTTGCAAACCATTCAATTGAAAATGTGATGCAAACAAAATGAATTGATTTGATAGAGAACTCACCCCAAAAGTAATTGCGAGAAATACTTAAGAGTGTTGCAGATGTCGGTTCCAGACGGGATCGGAAACACATTGTTTACGATTCTTGTGTGGAATTCCTGTAGATTCCGGATTTTGGCCGTAACTATGGTTAAAGTGATGGAGAAAATAGTGATACAAAATGTATTCGTGTGTGGAATCTAAGCAAAGAATTGTCGATGACTTACAGGCCGCGGCTCGAGTGCCCATAATATCGGTTATATTATTTACATTTGGTATAAAAAATGCTTAAAATTACAACAAAATTTGAATAAATGAGTCGACGTTTAGGTTATTTACTTCTTTTATTTTCACGACATCTTTAATAACGTGTGATTCGCTCAGAATTTCAACTGATATTAGGATCGGAAAAAAATATTCATTGAAAATATTGAGTCGACATTAATGTGGGGTTTGAGTGAAGACTAGACGCTCTCTGGAAACAAATATCACTACATTATTATCGATCGATTCGTCTATTATTTGGTGTTTTCGCAAAAACACTGTTTATTCCCATTCATACACTCATCTCTCCATTCAAACGTATCATTAAAAATAAAAATAAACTTTGCATTTGAATTAAAACTCTAAAAATATGTTTATTTATTCTTTAATGTTATTTTTAGAAACAAAAGTTAAGATAAATATTTACACAACAATTGGTGCGGATTTAAGATTTCGCACCAAAATCGACATAAAACGAGAAATTCAATCCATTGGTTGAGTGAAGAGGATTAAGATTAGGTGACAATATGGGTGTAATCGTTGCCGATATGCCTTTGCCTCTCTCGGGTCATACTTACGATCATATTCTCTCTTTCGTGATATATGAAGAGTTTACGTGAGGCCAACACCAGTGAAAACACCCAACAGACCAATAAAAACCAAATACCAAACTGTTTCATAAGTATATTTCACATAAGTATTGCATTTTAATTGTGGTCAATGGTATCAATGGATGATAATGAAGAATTGGATGCAATACCTGAACACTTCCGAGCTCTAAGAAGAAGCCCTTGGGATCAATGCCTGAGTTAACCCCTATTACCATAACAGAGGCGGCGGTTTCGCAACTGTTTAGACATTCAATCAAAATATATATAAATTTTATTTTTTTCTTTCATTTCTTTGGATTGAATTAAAAAATTGATTACATTTTAAAAATACTTACGAATCAAACCTTTGCTCCACTGATTGACACCAAACAGAGAAACCTTTGGTCACAATTACGGCATCGCTTACCACAAGAATAGTGGCCAATATTGACAACACTGTGTCCATGAATGCCGATAGAAATGTACTGCAAATTAACCATTTATTATAATCACAATTATATTCACACATAAAACACATACAATTGAAAAGACATTAAACAAACAAATTAAACAATTTTCTCAATACATTCAACAACAAGAAAATGTTAACCAATATAACGAAAAAAACGATACAATCAATGACTGAATGGGAGGAGAAGACAATGAAAGGTTAGGGGAAAGGAGTGGCGAAGAAGTGGAAGTGATGGACAAACCTATCGACTCCTTTATAGAGAAGTATGAATTTACGGCTCATTTGTATGAAAGCGATGAGAAATAGCGTAAATCCGGTGAAGAGAGTGAACCAACAGTTGGCAGCGGAGGACCAGTTGGGCTCAAACCTGCCGTCGTCTTCGATATACTGGCCGTCCGTATAGAGTCCCACGAAAGAAAACGTCTATCACTTAAATGGTTGTAGAGTTGGAATATTGTGGTCAATATCATCGGTCTGTCGAGTATAACCAAATCGAACTGCACTTCCAGACACCATAACAACAACTTCAGTGATGAAGTCTTAATCATTTCGAGATTAAGCAGAGCTCGTTGTGCGACATTGGCTTCGATGTCATCCAAACAATGGACTAAATAGCAGAAAGCTGTGGCCAGAGAGCCCTGAAGTAGTGGACTGTTTTTAACAGTCACCGGCTCTACGAAGTGTGCGATTGTTGTGACCCTTTCGACGGCCGCGAAGCGCGCCCTCCAGTCGTTGTTATGGAAGTCCTCTTCGACTACTTTGGAGAACATTGTGGTTCCCGACGGAAGTGTAATGCAGTGGAGTATTAACGGAACGCAAAGCTGTGAGATCTGCGAGAACTCCGACTGCAAGAGTTTCCAGAGGTTAGGTATCAGAAGGTTTTCCTGACACCAGATGACAAATCCTTTGTTATTTTTGGCCGCTTTATTGAGCACTTCTGAGTGCAAACTCATGAGTTTCACACAATATAATAAATGGTATAAAACGTCGGCGTCGTTGTGAGCGCTCACTTCTTTGAGAAACACATACACGAGCTGTTCCTGTGGTGGCAACTCTTCGATCGTAAACTTGAACTTTCCATACGATGTCTCCCAAAAGTTTTTTCCCATTTCGTCGAAACGCTTGTCAAACACGGAGTCGTTGTCTTCGTCTAAGAGTTGTGGTGTAGACGAAACCGTACACTTGGCCGAAGCCACGTCATCCTCAGTGATGGTCACCGCTCGGGCCACTCCTGTCTCCACTGACTCTATTGGCACGACTCGAGCCATATTCAGATCGTCGTCAATGTCTATAACTGTGGCTGCCTTCAGAGTAGAGTCACCGCTGAGTTCGCCCGAAGTAATTGTCTTAATATCTTGCGTCGAAACCACAGAATTGTTGGCAGTCTTGGTGTCAATTGTTTGCAATGATTTGGGCGTCTCTTTAGCAGAGC